ATTGAGTCCTATGATTTACAGTGTTCTTCTTGAGCAATCTTCTTCTCCAATTCTTTTTTCCAAGCTCTTACTTTACTCTGTTTTCCTTATTCTTCTTCAATTTCTTGCATTTACTACGTTCTTAGTATTTGTTATTACTGTGTTCTTGTTGAGAGGTCATGAAAAAAATTAATCAATCTACTTTAAGCATATTAGTTTCATTCATTTAGTTACAGAAACAAAATTATACCATTTATATCGATTTTTTAATGTGTTGACCTATGTTTGTCAAGAAAAAGACATAAAAGTCGTTTTAATGCATGATGACAAAGCTAGTGGCACGGACCAAAAGCATGATAAAGAAGTTTTTTTATTGTTACACTTTAACTTGCATGAACAAAGACGTATCTGTTGTTCCAAGGTTTTCAATAACTCTTTTATACATATTATTATAATCTTCGATTAAATTTTTCTAATTTATATTATTGAATTTGTTTATATCAATGGTTTTAGTTTCAAAATCACCATTATAGTACAAGACTTTACCGGCGTGGTGTCACTTACGTTATTTGATCGTGATGCAAAGAAACTTCTGGAAAAAAACACACAATAGTTGCTTCAAAAGTTTAATGAGGTTATCGATATTAACTTCATTTACATAAAACTAATTTTTACTTTTTGTTTGTCTATTTTTATAACCGTTAATTTTTTCATTTTTAGGAGGGTAATATGAAGATTTATCCGTCTGCTTTGAAATTACTTTTTGGATAAAAAGTTGGCGTTCAAAATTCAAATTTCTCATTATAATTTGAAGAACAATGTTGATGGTTATGAATCTCAAACTTCAATGTTGATAATAAAATCACTGTTGAATTGGAAAAAAAAATTAACATCGAACATGTAACATTCTTTTACGAAACATACTACAAACACTACACTTATTAGATTCGTTTTTTATATTTTAGTTGATCAACTAACATATTTTTATGTACTACAAATATAGGCGCCGTAATCTGATTCGTTTAACGTTTTATCGGCGAAATTCGGATGTCAAGACACATTAAATTTAAAGGTTTTAAATACAATATAACTAAATCTAATATTTTAAATACTTTAAAATATTATTAACTTTTAGATTGACATATGAATTTATTTTTTATATTTAGGATGCAGTTTCGTTTACTGGTGAAAACGTCACACCCGCTTCGAATCTTCATAAAAGTATTGCAACAAGTTCACTAACTAAGTGGACATCCTTTAAAAAAGTGTGTATACATGAAGAATTAAAACACAAATTGGAAGATGTTTACGGTGTTGATAATCTGGAAACAATGTCTTCAACCAAACGATAATTAACATCAATGACATATCATACTTCTGGAGAAGTATGCCAAAACTGTTAATTCCAAAGAAAGAAAAATAATATATGATTTTCATGATTTTATATGAGTAGTTTGGTGATTTGAGTACGGTTGATTTCATATTATGTTTACATATTATTTGGTTTTTGGGTTTGGTTTTTGATTACTTTGTTTCATACTATTCGTTTTTTGGATTAGAATTTTGATCATTTAAATACATTTTGGGTTTTATGAAATGTTGAATTATTCATCTATTTGTCTTTTGGGTTTAAACTCATATGAATTTAGAATTTTAATCATTTTTTACTCTATTATTCCGTTTGAATGTGAATTTGTCGGCATTGTTACAATGTTATTCATTACAACTTTAATATAAATATTAGCAAACTACAACTTTTTATGAAATTATAAACTTTTATAAATCTTTTAACCATTCTAAAACAATTATTTATAGTTCCTTGTAAATTTATTGATAAATTTATTAGTAAACATTTACCACTAAATTTGAGCAATCGTTAAATTTGTCCATTTTCTATTGTTAAATCAAGTATAAATGAATTTGAGCAATCGTTAAATTTCATATTGTATGATGTAATTTATGCACTAATTAATCAAATAATAGTACATATCCAAGTGGTCGGGTACTTCCAAGACAATAAGCAAACATGTAAATTATATGCAATTTCACAATATTGTAATTTTTTTACTGGATTTAAATGAACAATTACTTTTTTCACTTGATTTAAATTCTTGATTACTCATATAAGGTTGTAATAAAATAAAATTATGATAAATTAGAAAAATTGTTCAGCTAAACCTTAAAATTTTGAAATTTGTTGGAAATTTTGTTATATGCCAAGTTAGGCTTCTTTTTTGTGTTGTCATGTTTGCTGATTTGACTATGTAGGGTTCATTTGAAGTTCCATTTCTCTATAAGAATGTTAATGTTCACATCCAAGTGGAAACAATCACAATTGGTAAGCATTTTAAATGATTTGTTCACTTACATTAATCAAAACTGTTATTTTAAGTGGTGCGTTCTCATTGATGCCACACCGGTTGTCACTATATAGACCTTCTAGCGGTCTATAGAAGAATCCTAACGGCTTTATGAAGAATTTTGTTGCGTTTTCAATGAAGTATCACTCTGTCAACATTCTTCTCTATGGTTATTTCTCTTATTTTGGATATAAATGTGTGTCACAACAATAAGACAGAAAGAGGTGTTAGTGACCATTAAAGATGAAATGGTAATATATAATTTAAGAATAATATATAAAGTGTAAATTGTAGATTTATGATATTTATTTCAATGAAAAATATGTTGTTTGATTGTTAGGTTACATATCTGGTTATTTTTTTTATTATTTTTTTATAATTTGATTTTGACAAGTTTGATCTAAATTTGATAATTGAACCAGGTAGGAAAGATATGTGCTAACGATTTTGAATTTGCATTGCGCTATAGAAACCAACCGTAGCCTCGCAGACCATTCCCTCATATCTTAGTAGGTCTTAACATTTCCCAAAATTCAGCTACAAGAAGTCATGAATGCACTTTTTTGAATCAATCCTCTAAACCAAATTTCATTTGTTAGTTGGATGTAGTGACCAAAATGCAAGATTTGTGAAAGTTCATTATTATTTATTAGTGTTAACTTTTAGCAAATTATGAAAGTAATATTATATTTTTGTTCATAACATGTTTTTTTTTTGTAATAATCTATTTAATCAGAAGATATGTATATGTGATTGGGTGTAGCCTGAAAAATCATATTTTAATTTTTATAAGGAAAAAATACTTTGAAATCGACTATATTACAATGTCTGAATTTGATGTTTATGGTTATGACAATTCACTTTATTTGTAATGTTTATCGAATTTCTTTACAGAATTTAATGTTGCTGGTATATATAACAACTTATTGTTGCTTTTGGTTTTACAGAGCTAATATGAAAAGAGCCATATGAGCCTCCATGGGGGTTGGTACACCGAACAAAGTCAATTCATAAAGCTACTACACAACATGTTTTAATCAAGAAGTCGCATTATGTTGTGATAAAACAAAGATCACATAGATCATTTATGTTAAAAATTACTGTATTAAAAAACCAAATTGCTTTAATATAAATATTAAATATTTTTATCTAATAAGTTTGGTTAAAAAACTCTAAAAATGAATCTAACTAACATTTTTTTATTAATAATTCCTAAGACAAAACCATCTATTAATGTGATATGTATTTAATTTATGTTCCCCGCGTTTAACGCGTGTCATAATCTAGTTTTATATTGAATTTCATTTTTTTGGTCTAAATCAGTTCTAAATATGTATATTTTTGTGATTATTAGAGATTGTTGTAGATAAAATTTTGCTTTATAGTTTTTAGAAAAGTGGGTTCTGATTTTGGATTCAATTCTCAAATCACTTGCATATTGCAAGTCAAAACATTAGCTGAAATTAGAAACCTTGTCAGATTGAATCACACATCTTTTTTTTTTCTTAAATTAGAAATGATCTTTTAACCCAAAATCTTGGAGTTACTGGCAGACTTGGAGTCTGAATATTGAGGATTTTTTTGATTTCTTGCTATCCGCTTGACCACTTGGATATTGAATATTTTATTGGTGATTTCTAGTTCAAACCTCTTTCACAATACCATAGACTACTCATCTTTTTTTTTTTGTTATTTTAATTTTTTCTTGTTTTTGTTAGTTTTATTATTGTTTTGTTTTACATAATTAATGTAATGTAGTATATCTATTTTAGTATCTACCATCTATTCATTTATGCACTGTTAAATGGACTTTATTAACATATAAGTTTAAAATCATGTTTTATTTTTCAGGTGAAAATAAGACATGTATTATTTGTTTGATTTTTGTAAATATTGTGAGGTAGATTCTTATGAAAATATATTTTTGTAATGTATCTACCAAAGAAGGGTAAAATTGTAGACTTGTACTAATATAAAGGTTAGTTAATTAAAATTTTTTACAGGAAAATTGATGTTATATAGAAGGTCATCTCGCTCTAGGGCTTTAGGCATGGTAAACTAATGGACTGGCGACTTGAACTTATGACCGTTAGAGTTAGGTGATTGACCCTTTGCTAGTTGGTACCATCTGTATCTCATTCGTCAAAAATTGAGGCGTCTCATTAGTCTTTCTTTATTTTAATATTAGATGTAAAACACACGGATTGATTAAAAAAATAAAATATTGAAATGTAAATAATAAGTATTTTTTAAAATAAAATTTTAAAATAAGGAATGAAATTTTGAAATAAGAAACTCATTAGAGAAATCAAGAAATTTTGAAATAAGAAATTTTGAAATATGAAATTTAGTATAATATTTATTATATAAGTATAAGTATTATATGACTTTTTAATTTTAAAAATTGAAAAAAAAACCATAAACTGAGATGTGGATATTTTTTATTTAAAAAATATCACAAAATGACAAATGTCAAAACTCATTAGAGATTGACATGTGACAAAATTATCTTCATTTATTACAGTAGATTTTCATTAATTTCAACTTATTTTTGTTTTTTTATTATTTACAACCCACAATACATAATACATGTAAGTCCGTATTTTTAAAACCACGTATTTTAGTACAAATTATAATGCGTATTGTACAAATAGAAAAAAGAGAGTAGCGACGGCTCAAGACCTGAACTTTGTGGGTATCACAGTGGCGGGACGGTGGTGCCGGTGCGTAACTCTGGAGCTGCCTTCCCTTATGTTGGTTCGTCAAAATCCTAAATATATCCGTCATCACAACGGCTTTTACCAATGTATCTCTCTACAAACGTTTGTAATTCCAAACCCTTGGTCAGTAACCATCAAAAGACTTCTAATTTTATTCCTGATCCGGTATAAAAAATTAAGACCTAAATTGCTTTCAGATTTACAGAATTGTTTGTGATACTGATTTTTGTGCTTCTAAAAAGAGTTTGGATTATACACCAAAAGAAAGAAGGAAGGAAATTTGGAGATATATGTCGCCTGATGCTCAAATCTTAATGCCAGAGGTGGTAAGCCAAGCACAAGGGGGTGGAACTAGGTTTAGTACCGACTTGTAAATTTTTCTGTCTGAATTTATCTAATAAATGTTTTAATCACTTATTTTTGTGGAATATACAGACCATTGAATGATATTGCAACACCCATGCATATCATATTGCTAAACCACTCAATATTCTGTGAGTAAATGAAGCGGAGGTTCATTGATGGGAGTGACATATGCAGTGACTCGATTGTTGAAAATTAAACGTATTGACCAATTTGTTCTATTAAAAGCCACAGTAGTCAATATATGGTCCTGCAATGTTAACCACTTAATCATTGTGTTGACTAGTTCAATAGTCACTTAGTTAGTCAACCCTTGCACCCAGATCATCTCAATCTTTAGATCTAAGGATCTTTTCTTCAGTTCTTGAATTACAGACTGATCCATATCATATCTCCAAAAAGCATGGACCATTCCACAGCTCTTATATTTCTCGTTACTGTATTGGGTATTGTTTTTTATTATTTACAGAAACAACACGAGGAAGACAATGGTGAGCAGAAGAACTCATCCCTGTCATCATCATCAGATCAACAATCCCTACATGAAGAACAGCATGTTAAGAAAAAAGATTCATCCATATCAGCGTCATCAGATAAACTATGTCGAAAGTTTTCACTTGCTGAAATCAAATTGGCCACCAATGATTTTGATGATGCATTTGTAATCGGAAAGGGCGGGTTCGGGAAGGTATACAAAGGTAAGATTGAGTCTGGGGAAGAAGGAGTTGATGTTGCCATTAAGAGGTTGAATCTTGAATATTCGAGTCAAGGGACAAGCGAGTTCCGGGCAGAGATTGAGATGCTTTCCAAGTTTCGCCATAGTCACATCGTCTCTCTTTTAGGATACCATGAAGGATCTGATAAAAGAGAAATGATTCTTGTTTATGAATACATGCCGAATGGAAGTCTTGAGGATCATCTGCACAAAAGAAGAGCTAATGGAAGTAATCATTCTCTGCTGAAATGGGCCCAGAGGCTCCATATTTGCATAGGCGCTGCTCGTGGTTTGGACTACCTCCATTCGGGTACAGGTGTCAAATCCAGAGTCATACACCGTGACATCAAGAGCTCAAACATCCTGCTGGATGAGAATTTGTCTGCTAAGATTTCTGACTTCGGTTTGTCCACAATTGGTCCAGCAAATCTGGTGGGGACCACTAATGTTTATACTGATCAGATAAAAGGCACATTTGGGTACATGGATGCTGAGTATTTTTCAACTCGTAGACTGACACGAAAGTCTGATGTGTATGCATTTGGTGTGGTGTTATTGGAAGTGTTATGTGGTAGGCCTGCTCTAGACTTTACATTAGATGAGCAGCAACATAGTCTAGCTGTATGGGCTAAAAGATGCATCAAAGAAGGTAAGATTGATCAAATCATTGATCCATGTTTAAAGGGACAAACAACAGGTAATTGTGTGAAGGAATTTGGGAGGATTGCATATGAATGTGTTCTTACTCGTTCAAAGGATCGACCTACAATGAGTCAGGTGGTAGCTAGGCTTGAGTTTGTGTTGGCCTTGGCGTTACAAAAACATGGTGGAGTCACAATTGCTGAAAAGATGTGGTCGATATTCTCTATTAAAACTCCAGGTAAACTTGACTTGTTGGAAAATACGATTTGTGTGTGTGGTGTATAAGTATTTCTTTATCGTACTTTTATGGAACTCATTTATTTCTTTGTTTTCATTTTAAAATTATAATTATATCTTCTCAACTAGCATCCGGCTTCAACGTAAGAATTATCCTAAGTCATATCACCACTTGTGGATTCTGTGACTACCATTCTACCTCAAAGATATGATCGTTTTGTTTGATTTAGATGCTTTTATTTGGTTTCAGCAGTGCATGCTAAAAATTACAGAAACAGACGAAAGTGGAGCAACGACAAGAAAAAGTAAAAAGGTCATACCAGACAAAACAGCTACAACAGTGGCAGAAGGGAGCAGTGAAGGTAAAGATAACAGTATCATTTTAGTAGATCCCACTCAAGCAGCAGCAGAGGGAAACAATGACAACATAAATAAAAGTGTCACAATGGAAGAGCCCATTGTGACAGCAGAAGAAGAGAGCAGTGACTGTATCACCACCACCACCACCACCACCACCACAACTGTAGAATGTCAAGGTGTTGCTATAATATCGAACGCACAGCCATTAAGTAGTCAAATGGGGACACACAAGTTAAAGATATTCACATTTGATGAGTTGCGAAGAGCCACCATAAACTTCCGTCCATCAGCCATGCTTGGAATTGCAGATGGTGAGTCGATCTATAAAGGGTGGATGGATAGGGATTCATACACACCATCAGTAGCTGGAGTAGGGATAGCTGTCACGATCAAGATTGTAAACACAGATATTCAAAGTCTCAAAGAGGGGCAGGTTTGTTTGTCTATTATACCATCAAATTTGGGTTCAAAAGGAGAGAAAATTTATTAGACGATGTTGTGTGTTTGCGCGTGACAGGCAGAAGTGGAATATCAGGGAATGTTCAGTCATCCCAATCTTGTTAAACTCTTAGGATATTGTTCAGAAGATGGAAGGCTTCTTCTTGTACATGAATACATACCTAAGAGAAACTTCTTGGACATTATTCGCCGTAAGTACTACTCCCTAGATCTGTGCCAAAAAATAGACTTGTACCTTTTGGAAGTAAACCAAAATCCACATTCAAGTTGCATCTCTTTTTTCTAAGTGAATTAGGTATAAACCATAGCATAACTTTCTTTATGAGGTTAATTGTGTTTGTTTTTTCTTTGTTTAAACTCTTTCGATATTGATGGAAAAAAAAGAGTTTCTTCTTGTTTATGAATAATATACAAAAAGGACGCTTAGAAATGCATCTCTTCAGGAGTAAAGTATGTTGGGTTTTAATCTTGACAGGTTGTTCTTTTAGTAGAATTTTAGTATTTACTTTATTTAGTGAATTAAATAAAGGGTAGTATGTTGAATGAGTCATGTAGGACCGAGTATTTGGGAGTAGTAGAGAGTTGGGTTGCAGCTGGAAAAGAGGGAATGTGGGTTTACTGTTTCCTACTAGAGTTCGCATGTACCGGCTATATAATTATAAATAGTCACCTATTTCTTGAATGAATGCAGTAGTACTTTCTCTTTAAAAGGTCTATTGTTTCTCTATTTATTTTTTTCATCCCAAAACACAAACATAAAAGCACATAAAGAAGGGCCTGATATTCCAATAAAGTATTCAAATCCACACCAACAAATATGGAAAAAGTTATTAATTTGTTAAATTGAATTTTTGCAGAAGGCGAAAAACCGCTTACATGGGAGACGAGGATCAAAATAGCCACAGGAGCAGCTCAAGGCCTTGCTTTTTTGCACACTACAAAGAATAATGTCATTTTCAGGGATTTGAAATCATCAAATATTTTGTTAGACTGGGCAAGTAAAACCTAATAATATTTACTTTAAATAGGCATTCATGATCATGCATGGTGGTACTTTGAATAATTTTGATATTTTGGGGGTAGTATGTTAGGTAGAATGTTTATGATATTTATATTTCTATATTGAATTATGTTTCAGGAATTTAATGCGAAGCTCTCAGATCTTGGACTGGCAAAATTAGGTCCTGTCAATGGAGAGTCTCATGTCTCAACAAGCATAATAGGCACCTACGGTTATGTGGCTCCTGAGTATATAGCAACCGGTTAGTTCTCTAATCTCCTTGTTTGAGCACAACTTCTTGCTTTTAGGGCTTAAATCATTTAGGGGTTATTGTTAAATTGACTTGAATATATGTAAAATGGTCTATATCCCAAATTCAGCAATGATAAGGGTTTTTAAGACATCAATAACAAAGTCTGTGATGCAATTACAGGTCATTTATATGTGAAGAGCGATGTTTATAGTTTTGGAGTGGTGATGCTAGAGATAATTACAGGGTTACGTGTACTTGATGCTAATCGGCCTTACTCACAACATAATTTGGTGGATTGGGCTACACCTTTTTTAAGAAGTATAAAAAAACTAAGAAAAATCATGGATCCACGTTTGGAACAAGTTTATACATCAAAAGGCGCAATGAAAGTAGCGAAACTCATCCTAAATTGTCTTGAAGAAGAGCCAATTCATCGGCCTCCAATGGAGGAAGTGGTCGCACGTTTAGAAGAGATCAACACAATTAAAATATAAACTGTATATGGAAGTTGAATGATAATACATGGCATGGATAGACTAATCACCCATCCGAATGATGATAAAGGTTTCACACTTTATGTTTTGGTTATATATAGGATCAATTTATGGTAAAAGTGGTCGGCCTTTTCCTTTTTCTGATTGCAGATTGTTATGTAATCAATTTCAATTCATATGTTTGTTATTATGAAATGTGTAAAGACGTTTACACATGAGAAAGAAGATGATACATGACCTGTAACAGGTGTGTGAGTGTGTATATCATTTTTTATACATAGTAGCAGCATACTTCAGTTTTTGTCCATTTCAGGCCATACATTTCTTTGTTTATAAATACTAGCAGCATACTTCTTCTGGCAATGTACTTTGGTCATTTTAAACAAAATAGCAATATACTTTAGATTTCATCATTGTAAATTAATGAAGGTGTATGTTGCCTAAAATGGGTTTAAAAAAGCACATTAGCTAAAGGGGGATTCGACCTAAAGTAGGTTGCCATCATTTGAATCTGACTAAAATAGATATAGTGATGTGATTACAATAATTCACTGAGAAGTGCCAACACTAACTAATAAAAGCCCATATGATAAAAGTGTAATCAAGAAATTGAAAAACTTAGAAGTATCATTTTGTCAGACAACACAATGCTAACCCTGATCCTGCCATTGATAAGTATCATTTTTTATGGGTGGAAACAGACAAAAATATTTTGCCCTGATCCTGCTATTGATGCATTTGTTTCTAGTTAAATGTGGTTTGCAATTTTCTTTGGTTTTGGTATTCATTGTGAATATGGTCCATCATTTTTTCCCTATGCTATTGTTTTTTTTTTTAAACATTTTTTTATGCCATTATTCTTTTATTTATCTTTTTATCATTTCTAGTTTCAGCTTTACCAAAAAACTAAATTCAATCCTACCGATGATGAGAAAAAGGAAAATCGTGTAGTAGAAGGTGGTTCTCAAGGCTAAAGGGAAATCAAACTAAATACATTTAGGAATCCAATTTCATTTGAAAGCTTGAAACAAAAGTAGAAAAGTGCTAGAGTTTGATTCAATTCTTTCTAATTCCAAAGGATTTTGACCCCTAAATTTAAATAAGGTGGGCTGATTTAAAAGGAAAAGATTTAGATGTTAGAAGTCGGTACCTCATTCACCACTGTAGTAGCACCATAGAAATCGGCCAAAATTTCAAGAGAAATGCATATGTTACCTCTATGATCGAATTGTACCTGCGAAGCGTCATAAGGCTCTGGAGCTGCCTTCTCGTCTGTAGGTTCGTCAAATTCCCAAAAATATCCATTATCACACCCGGTGTTACAAGTTAATTTCTCTAATTCCAAAGAATTGTTTGTGATACGGATTTTGTGTTTCTAACAAAGAGTTTGGATTATACGCCAAATGAAAGAAAGAAAATAAAATGTGTGGAAAAGTTGCCTCCAAAATTAGCAAGTGGCAAATAGTTCAGGGGTTATTTCCGTAACTTATCATTTATTATTCATAGTTTGACTATGAATAGTAATCTAATATGAAATTGAAAATGAAAGTGGACGGAATGGAGGCGCAGACATTATTATATGTGTATAGTAATATGCAATATGAATTTGAAGATTGTAGGCGCAACAATTTTGTCTTGGACGACATTTTTTGTTTTCTTCTTTCATTTGTATTCTCCTCTTTGGCTATAAATAGCCAGAGAGATTTAACCCACGAATAACCCAACAATCAATATATATATATATATATATATATATATATATATATATATATATATATATATATATATATATATATATATATATATATATACTGATACACCACCATATATTTTAGCCCTCTCACTCTATTTGTAATCTCTTTCATAATCCCTGTAAACACTGCAAATTATAGTGAATTGTTTCTCGGCTTCCTCCGCCCGTGGTTTTTTCCCGATTTGGGTTTCCACGTAAATTCCTGTGTCTCTATTCTATTTATTTTACTCGTATTTCGTTGTGATTATTACGCTTTGATAATTTTTGATCCCATTCCGCATTGAGCTAATATTATTTAAGTCAATTTGGATTCGTCGTATTTCACAACAATTGGTATCAGAGCATCCGGGTTGTAATATTAGCTCATTGGGATCATTTTATCAAGTAATTAATCATGTCTTCGGTAAAATACGATATTCCACTACTGGATCGTAACACACGATTTCCGTTGTGGCAAGTAAAGATGAGAGACATTCTCATTCAGATGGATTTACACAAGGCACTATTGGGTTTCAATAAGATGCCCGATACATGGACCGAAGAAGAAAAGGAGATGAAAGATCTGAAGGCTTTATCCCAGATTCGTTTGCACTTGTCAAACGATGTTTTGCAAGATGTTCTAAAAGAAACGTCAGCGGCTTCTTTATGGCTAAAGTTGGAGCAACTGTTGATGACCAAGAGCTTACCAAACAAGTTGCATTTGAAGCAACGGTTGTTCAATCTCAAGATGATTGAAGGAGGCTCTTTAACTGAACATATATCCACATTTAAAGAGTTAGTAAATAACTTAGAGAATATGGATGTTCAGTATGAAGATGAAGATTTGGCTTTATTCTTACTGTCGTCGTTGCCAGAATCCTATAGCCATTTTCGTGATACTATTATCTATAGCCGTGACACTTTAGTTTTAGATGAAGTCTATACAGCTTTGGATTCCAAAGAGAAGATGAAGCATATTAATGGTGGTGGTTCAAGTGATGCTAAAGCCGAAGGTTTGAATGCCAGAGGAAGAACAACAGAAAGAAGTAGAACTTCTCAATCTTCCAACAGAACCAGATCCAAATCAAAAGGCAAACGAAAGTTTTGCAACTATTGTCACAAGAAGGGACATGTGCTTGAAGAATGCTTCAAGTTGAAGAATAAAGAAAAAGAGAAGACGACAGCAAATGGTAAACAAGCTAGCACTTCGGGTGAAGCCGATGTAGCTGAGGTGGAAGGTATTGGAGAACTTTTGACAGTTTATTCAGATAAACTGGATTCCACTGGTGATTGGATACTCGACTCTGGTTGTACTTTTCATATGTGTCACAACAAAAGTTGGTTTTACACATTTGAAAAGGTTAACCAGGGCTATGTGTTGATGGGTAACAATACTACATGTCCAGTTCTTGGACATGGTTCAGTCAGGATCCGTATGTTTGACGGAGTTATTCAACCATGGGGGATGTTAGATATGTTCCTGACCTCAGAAGAAACTTGTTATCTCTCAGTTCCTTTGACAAAAGGGGATACGAGTTTGCTGGTAAAGGTGGAGTTCTCAGGGTATTCAAAGACGGCTCCGACAAACTAAGAGCCAAACGAAAAACCTCAGATCTTTACTTTCTTGACGGGCAAACAATTTCGAGTGATGCTGCTGTTGTTTCAAAGTCTCTTTCTGATCCAGATCAGTCCCGTCTTTGGCACCTTCGACTCGGCCATATGAGTTTTCAAGGCATGTCAGAATTGAGTCGAAGAGGTTTACTTGGTCAACAAAAGATTGTTGATTTGGATTTCTGTGAAGACTGTGTATATGGCAAGGCAAAACGAGTGAGGTTTGCAAGTGGTATCCATACAACGAAAGGACCACTTGATTATGTTCACTCGGATTTGTGGGGACCGGCTCGAGTTGCTTCAAAAGGTGGAGCTATTTATATGCTCACTATTATTGATGATTTCTCCAGGAAGGTGTGGTCTTTCTTCTTAAAACATAAAGGAGACGTTTTCTATACCTTCAGAAATTGGAAAGTTCAGGTTGAAAAGCAATCAGGTCTGGTGGTAAAGTATCTTCGTACGGATAATGGACTTGAGTTTTGCTCAGAAGAGTTTAATGTCTATTGTCAAAAGGAAGGCATTACTCGACATCGCACAGTAGTCCATTCACCTCAACAAAATGGTGTAGCTGCTGAAAGGATGAATCGCACCATTATGGAGAAGGTCCGGTGTATGCTTTCTAATTCCAAATTGCCAAAGTCTTTTTGGGCGGAGGCTGCTTCGACTGCTTGCTATGTTATCAACCGATCACCGTCACGAGCAATCGAGAAGAAAACTCCGTTTGAGTTATGGTCCGGTAAACCTGCCAATTATTCAGATTTAAAACCATTCGGATGTCCAGCGTATGCACGAGTTGACAATGGGAAGCTAGAACCAAGAGCAATCAAATGCGTTTTTCTTGGGTACAATCAAGGTGTAAAGGGTTACAAGTTATGGAGCTTTGATTTGAAGAAAATTATCATCTCAAGAGATGTTACTTTTGATGAGTCTGCTATGATTCAACCAGTTGCTGACTCTTCTAAAAGAACAGATGCATCAGATGTATCATCCGAAGCAAATAAAGAGTATGCTCAAATGGAGGTGGAGCTTCCTACTTCACCTACCACTAATCAAAGTACAAATCAACATCAAGATTCTTCTTCGTCGGATGAGCATGTTGTTGGTGAAGATTCAACACCTTCACAACCACAAGCTACTACTCCAAGCATTGCAAGAGATAGACCGAGAAGACAGATTATTCCTCCGAAGAGGTATGCTGAATCTGATTTGGTTGCCTATGCTTTTATTGTTGCTGATAATATTGAGTACGCAACGGAGCCTGCGAATTATGACGAGGCTATCAAATCTGAAGACTCAAATGATTGGATGCTCGCTATGCAAAATGAGATGGAATCCTTGCAGCGAAACAGTACTTGGAATTTAGTTCCTATTCCGAAAAGGAAGAGACCAGTTAAATGCAAGTGGGTCTATAAGCTCAAGGAACCTGTCAACCCAAATGATAAACCAAGATACAAAGCTCGGTTAGTAGCTAAAGGCTACAGTCAGATTCCTGGTATTGATTACACTGACATTTATTCCCCAGTTGTCAAACATACTTCCATTCGTGTATTGTTGGGGTTGGTTGTTTCTAACGATTTTGAGTTAGAACAACTTGATGTCACTACAGCTTTCCTAAATGGTGAGCTTGAGGAAGAGATTTTTATGTAACAACCTGAAGGTTTTGTAGTTCCTGGAAAGGAGAACTACGTATGCAAGTTGAACAAATCTCTTTATGGCCTCAAGCAGTCTCCTAGACAATGGTACAAGAGGTTCGATTCTTTCATGACCAGTCACAAATTCAGCAGGT